TAAAAAATAAGTAAATGAATAAAAGAGAGAGAGAGAGAAAAGAAAGAGAAAGAAAGAGAAGAAAGAAACAACAATCATAATAATACTTTGAACTTTCAGAAGAAGAGATCAGAACTGTGGTTACTAGAGGTGGGAAAGGGGGAGGGAGAGGGGGATTAGCAGAAAATTGTTTAATGGATGCAAACAATGATTACATTTTGTAATGATGAATATGCTAATTAACCTGATTTGATTATCACACATTATATACAAGTATTCATATTCAACTCTGTACCCCACAAATATGTATAGGCAAATATGTTTCTATAAAAAAAAGTCACAGCACCAAAAAAATAAATGAATAAAAATTTTTAAAAAGTCATGGACAATACGATGAGAAAATCTAACATACAACTAATGGGAATTCAAGAATGACATGATGAAGTATAGGAAATATTTAAGAGATAATAGCTAAAATGTGTCTAGAACTGATGAAATATATTAATCCTCAGATTTAGGAAGCATAAGTTTCAGTATTGATAAATAAAAACATATCAACAGCCAGAAACGTCATAGTGAAACTACATTAGTACCTCCTATACATTTCTAGATGCCCAGTGGATACCAAACCCTATATATATTATGTTTTTTTCCTATACATACCTGTGATAAAGTTTAATTTATAAGTTAGGCACAGTAAGAGATTAACTACCACAACTAATAACAAAATAGAAAATTATAACAATATGCCAACATTACTACTCTTGCACTTTGGGGCCATTATTAAGTAAAATAAGGGTTACTTGAGCACTGGCAAAAAAATAAATAACCCAACTGAGTAACGGGCAAAGGAACTTAAAGGGCATTTCTCAAAAGAAGACATACAATTGACCAACAGGCATATGAAAAAATGTTCAACATCACTAATCACCAGGGAAAATCAAAACAAAAATGAGATACCAGCTCACTCCAGTTAGAATGGCTATTATCAAAAAGACAAGAAAACAAGTGTTGGCAAGGATGTAGAGAAAAGGGAATACTTGCACACCATTTGTGGGAGTGTAAACTAGTACGACCATTATGGAAAACAGTATGGAGATTTCTCAAAAAATTAAAAATAGAACTACCATATGATCCAGCAATCCCACTACTGGGTATATACCCAAAGGAAATGAAGTCGGTATGTTGAAGAGATATCTGCACTCCCATGTTTATTACAGCACTGTTCACAATAGCCAAGATATGGAATCAACCTATGTGTCCAATGATGGATGACTGGATTTTTAAAATGTAGTGTATATACACAATGGAATACTATTCAGCCATGAAAAAGAATGAAATCTTGTCATTTGTGGTAACATGGATGAACTTGGAGGTCATTGCATTAAGTAAAGAAAGCCAAGCACAGAAACACAAACACCACATGATTGCACTAATACGTGGAATCTTAAAAAGAGAGAGAGAGACAGAGAATAAAACAGTGGTTACCAGAGATTGGGGAGGGAAGGGGAGAAGGGAAAACAGGGAGAGTTTGGCCAATGGGTATAAAATTGCTATTAGATAAGAAGAATAAGTTCTGGTGTTCTATTGCACAGTAGAGTGACTACGGTAAACAGTTAAGTTTTGTACATCACGTAATAGCTAGAGGAGAGGCTTCTGAATATTTTCACCATTAAGTTCTGGTGTTCTATTGCACAGTAGAGTGACTACGGTGAACAGTTAAGTTTTGTACATCACGTAATAGCTAGAGGAGAGGCTTCTGAATATTTTCACCATGAAGAAATGATAAATGAATGAGGTGATGGATACATTAACTACCCTGACCAGATCATTATACAACATATATACGTATCAAACCTCAGAATGTAGCCCATTAGTGTGTACAATTACAGTGTGTCAATTAAAATAAAGAAATAATAATGTCTTTAATTTGCACACAGGGATAGTCAAATAATCACAACCACAATGAAAAAACGAAATGGATCCATCACCCAAAAAAATCTCCTCATGCCACCCCTTTGTAATCAATTCCTTCCTCACTCCCAGTCCTTGAAAACCAATGATCTGTACGTTCTTCTAACCTATAGTTTTTCCTTTTCCAGAAAGTCTGTGAATAGAATTATACAATATGTACCCTTTTGAGTCTGGCTTCTTTTCCTTAGCATAATTCATTTTAAATTCTTCCATGCTGTGCCTATCAATACCCCATTTCTTTTTTTATTGCTGAGTAATATTCCATTGTAAGATGTTCCATAATTTGTTTACCCATTCACCATTGAAGAATATTTCAGTTGTTTCAGGTTTTTGAGATTATGGATGAAACTGCTATAAATATTCACATAGAGGTTTTTGTGTGAAAACAAATTTTCATTTCTCTTGGGTAAAAACACTCAGGAATGGGATTGCTGGGTCATATGGCAAGTATACATTTAACTTAACAAGAAGCTCCCAAACTGTTTTCCAAAGTGGCTGCACCATTTTGCATTCTCAACAGGAATGTATGAGAGTTTCATTTTCTCTGCATCCTCACCAGCACCAGGTATTATCACGTTTGTTGCTGTTATTGCTGTTGTCATTTTAATAGGTATGTAGTGCTATATCATTGTGGTTTTAATTGGTGTCTCCTAATGACTTATGATGTTGAGCATCTTTGCAAGTCCATATATCTTTCTTGGTGTCTCAAGTCTGTTCAAATCTTTAGCCCTTCTGAAGCTATTTTTAATCACAATAAATATGAGCTAAAACTAGTTTTTTCGAAAAACAAAACAGAGATTCTCCCCCTGGATAAAATAACAAAATCCAAATGTATACTGTCAAAAAAGACATCTAAACATAAGGACACCAAAATCTCGAAAATAAAAAAGTGGAAAAAATTATAGCATGCAAATACTAACCAAAACAAAGGTGGTGTAACTATAATAATACCAGGTAAAATTGACTTAAGGCAAAAGCATTATTTGGGATAAAGGGTTACTAAATAATAAGGAAAAAAAATTACAATACTTTTAGGCATCTAACAACAACCTCTACTTATGTAAAGTAAAAACTGACAGAATTGCAAGAAGAAATTGATAAATCCACAGTGATGGTGAAAGCTAGTTAGATTGAGCTAAAAAGCAATATTGGCAAAGATATAGAAGACTGAACTTTATAATTAACAAAACAATCTACCTAACAAATTTAGACCCCTGCACTCAACAATTAGAGAATATACATTTTTCTAAAGCAAACAGAACATTTGAGAAAATTGGTCATGTACAAGGCTACAAAGCAAATCCCCACAAATCACAAGTTGTTAACACACACCACATTCTCTGATCACAATGTGATAAGAGAAGTAATGATAATAAGCCACATTTGGAAAATTTAAAACAACTGCCAAATAATTAATGGGCAAAGAAAAAGGTATTAAAAAAATTAGAATTGGAAAATGATGAAACACTAAAAATCAAAACGTAGGATGCCACTAAAAGGAAAATTTTAAACCTTAAATGCACAAAATATTTTTTTTTGCACAAAAGATTTTTTTGAAAAAAGCCAAAAATTGCTACAGGAAGCACCCCAGGCTCTCCTGAGGCAGGGAGGTGGGGGGCCGCAGGCCTCGGCCATGCCTCCCCAACACATGCAACTAGCCCAGCAATGACCACCGAGCCACAGCAAGAAGGGCCTTGGGTTCCTGAGCTGGGGTGGTGGGAGGCGAGGGCTTTTCCACACACCCCTGACATCTGCAGCCCACCCAGCAATGTCCAAGCCACCACTGGAAGCCCCTCGGTCTCCCCTGTGGGAATGAGGGGAGTGCCACAGGCCTCAATCCTGCCCCTCCTCCTTCTTCCTTCTTCTATCACATTTCCTTCCCCTTTCTCCTCTCCCCCTCCTTCTCAACTGCTCCACAACAACATCATAGAATGTAAAAAATATTAATAAAATAAAATATAATTAATTAATTAAAAAATTAAAAAATCTAAAAATCAATCAACTCAAGATGTCAGAAAGAACAGAATAAAACCAAAGAAACTAAAATGTCTTCTGAAAATATAAATAAAATGGTCTAGCAAACATGATTAAGAAAAAAAGAAGGCACAAATAAAACAATCTTAGCAGTGAAAACAGGCAGATCTACAGATACAGTTCAGATAAGTCAGACGTGGGACTAGAAACCAGGTTCTGCTATTTATCAACCTTGTCTGTGACCTCTGAGCTTCAGTTTGCTCATGTGCAAAACAGAGATAATGTTTACTCAGTGCCAAGTCACAGTAGTCATTCAACAAATATTAATTCCTTCCTCTTCCTTTCAACTCCCTTTAATTAGTGGTTCTGCAGAATGAAGAGGATAAAACAACTAAAAATGTGAGTTGTGAATTATTAACATTCTATATAGATAGTTGTAGTGGATTGAATTATGTCCCCCCCAAACTCCCTGAAGCTTGAACGGTTTTGTGTATTAGAAACTTAGCCCCCACTGTGACTGTTAAATGAAGAGGATAAAACAACTAAAAATGTGAGTTGTGAATTATTAACATTCTATATAGATAGTTGTAGTGGATTGAATTATGTCCCCCCCTAAACTCCCTGAAGCTTGAACGGTTTTGTGTATTAGAAACTTAGCCCCCACTGTGACTGTTAAGAGGGTGGGAAATCCAATTATGGTAATTGAAAGGTGGAGCCTTGAAGAAGTGATTGGATTGTAGGACCGCCTGCAGTGAATGGATTAAAAGTGGCGGGCAGGGGCGTGGTTCTGAGGGCTTTAAAAGAAGAGGAGAGTCTGTCTCTCTCTCTCTCCCTCTGCTCTCTCTGCTCCAACCATCTTGCAATGTGAGACCCCTGGGTCACTGTTGCCACCACCAGATGGACTTTGGACTTCCCAGCCACAAAAACTGTAAGCAATAAATTTTTCTCTATAAATTAGCCGGTTTCAGATATTTTGTTACAGGCAACAGAAACAGACTAATACAATAGCCATATTCTCTATCAACATAAATAAGCAAGAATTGACTATGATTTGTTTTAAAATGTGTCCTTACCTGCCAAAACACATTCCTGAGTATATAAAAGTCCACATCCAAAGCAGCCGTAAATATAATTATAGGTAAAAAATAACAATAAAGTGAAAAACTTGGTGTTCTTAGAAGAGGGTAGACAATTTGGTGCACCTAAAGTAACAAAGGTAAATAAGAAATTTTTTTGCTGCCATTTTCAAGTATTATGAACTAGGTTGATGTTTTATCAATCGGTATAAATTTCAGAATATTCTAATTTGCAACTAATGAGAGATTGTCTAGAATGTCAATCTCAGGCGTCCTGTGGTGGAGTTCTTGATCTAGAATTGTGTGGTTTGGGGCTACACAAACATTGCTTGTGGGATGTAACCAGTACTTTCAAAAGTGGTACCCCTACCATTGGTGATACCTGAGATGATTTTAGGTGATTCACAGATAAGTATTTTTTTTATTTGGCTGTTAGATATTTATACTAATTTGAATTAGGTGGGAAAAAGCATCCTACACGGGTACTTGTGTTCTCACAGACATTTGGTAAGAACTTAAAAATCTTTCAGTGAGTTAGTAGAAAAAAACAATACATATATAAGAGTACAGATTGTGTATATAAGACATAAATCATGAAGGTCATAACAGATTAATGGAAAACAACAGTAATGATTAAAGTGCTGTAAGTATTCCCTCCTAAAAAGTTTATTTTATCCCAATCAATAGTTTAACCTCCATTACTTAATTTTTCTGTGCCTTAGTTTCCTCATCTGTAAAATGGGAATAGAGTACCTGCTTCCATTGGATTGCTGCAAGAATGAATGAACTCAAGAGTTAATAACTTAATTAGTTAATAAATACAAAAGCCCTTAAAAGAGAGCCTGGCAGGTCGTAAACACTCAAATGATGTTAGCTAGTAGTGGTGGTGGTATTTCGGAAGACTAAGAAGAGGTTTTTATGATCTTAGATGGATACAAGCATTATGTCCATTTTTAAAAAATAAAGGAATAAGTGGAAGCAAACTGTTATTGACCACAATGCTATGCAGTTGAAATCAGGAATTAATAAGAAGTTGATACATTAATGAATTTTTCTTGTATCTGTGTCATATATTATATGATGCATGCTTTACATTTAATCTGGCAGTTAGAACAAAGTAACCATGCCTCCAGGAAAATAATTGCTGCCTTTTTATAACTAGGTTCTCTGCAGGTGTGAAAGACAACGTCAGGGAAGAAGCCCTGTGTACGTACGTACAGGGGAAGGAAGCAAGAGCAAAGCTCCAAAGGCATGATAAAGAAACCAAGAAAGGAAACAAATTTTCCTCACTTCCAAAGTACTGCTTTATCATAAGCTTCCCTAATTTATGTCTCCTTAATTGTGTGGTTTTCATTTTCAAAATTTTTAATACAAGGTGAAATTTTTTGAGTAGTTGTTCACATAGAAAAAGATTCTACACATTCAGGGACAGAATGGGAATAAACCTCGTTTTGGTATTTATCCTTAGTTTATTCTCTAATTTATTGTACATACAGTAAGTACCTCAACAAAATGGTAAGCCAGTTGTCCTATCACAAATCCTGATAGAGAAAGAATTGTCAAGACAATGACTTCAAAATTCTTTAAACACGTCTTCAAAAACCCTAAAGAAATATATGCATGTGTTATTTAAACATAATTTTAAAGTTTCAAACTAATTAATAATCCATCCCTCTGGTTATTAATTTCAAACTTCTTCTGTCATATAATTAAGAATGAATAACTGACAGCCTTTAAAAATACTATCTCTTAAGTATGAGACACACATAATGAGGCATCTCTCATGGGTGAATTTGGAAAATATGGAAGTTTCAACAGCCTTCCATTTGCCCATCCAGTGACACGTTAGAATCACCATATGGGTATCCTACCAATGGACCTGATGATGAGAAATTATGAAAATCCAAACATTACATCTACATTGTACATCTCATATTAATAATTATTTACCCTAAGCTACAGCAATATATGCTCTATAATTTTCCTAAAAGCCACAAGTATAACCACAGGGTAAACGGCCTTCATCAGACAAGTAACAAAAGGCACTTTTTATTCTCTATCTGCATTTTCTTGCCTTGAAACTCTCTACTCTGTGCAAGATTAATTTCATTCCCTCCAGAGTCAATACATAGACTGTAATCCAATTAATTTATGCTTGCGGCAAGATTCATTGGCATCCCAGATTCTGCGTTTCCTGCCTTCCAGCTATAGGTCAAGCCAAATCAATAAATTTTTATTGAATACTTCCTATGTGTAAGGCCAGATAAAGAAATGTTTTTCACATTATTTCTACAATGCCCCTTACTGTTGGAGCACTTATGTCTATGTAGTCATAAAGGACCTACAGCAAGTAAAGTTCATGGTCATTAGCACTTTGTGGTACTATGTGTAAGGCCAGATAAAGAAATGTTTTTCACATTATTTCTACAATGCCCCTTACTGTTGGAGCACTTACGTCTATGTAGTCATAAAGGACCTACAGCAAGTAAAGTTCATGGTCATTAGCACTTTGTGGTACCAAAAGGGACCAAGGTCATTAGTGAGTATTTTAAAGACCCCCCAGAGAGAGCAATTGCACTCCTTGATACAATGGGTAAAACTGAAATTCTTTACACATATTTGCTTTATTATTTGTTGCTTTATAATCTTTCTAGTTCCAGAACGGATTTTAAAGCAACTGACATTTTCCCCAAATAAATTTTCTTTTACAGGGGGCTTAGAAACTTCTCTCTAATCACTGGTGCTGAATTGTGGAATAAAGCACCTGCATAATTGAATATATTATTTTATCTGCATGAATATCATTCACTATACCTGTTGCCTTCTTAATCACAGTTTAAGAAGCCCTTATTTGTGAAGGCTTTCCTAATTTCTTTGGGGGGGTGGGGGAAGGGAGCATCTTCCCTGAGGAAAAATCACATCAAAAGCCAAAATAAAACAGACAAAATTAATTGCATCAACCATGTAAATTGTGAATTGTATACCTGGGCTCTATCTGTCTGTTTTCCTGATTGTCCTCACCTCATTTCAGATATCTTGGTCAGGTTAGGCCTGGCCAGGCAGGCAGTGTAAGGCTCTCTCTCTTCCTTGTTCCCAGAGAATTTTCACCCCATCTTTATAGCCATACTTACCACATTGCATTGTCATTATCTGTTTGCCCGTCTCCCCCATGAGAGGGCTCCCTGAGGTTAAGGACCATCTTATTCTCCTTACATGTCTACCACACTGCCATGCTCAGCAAATGTTTCTGAATGAGGGAACGTAGAATAGATGCTACTTATAATTAATGAAGCTAGACTGACATCATTCACCCATGTCATATGATTTCACTGGGCCCCTTCTTTCGATCTGGTTGTAACCACTTTCTGCAAAGAGAAAAGTTTCAAAGGGCAATGGAGAGAAGAGTTTTAAAAACAATGACCTACCTCCGAAAACAACAGTGGAACACAGAAGCACTATGAAGTGGTCCTTTGTAATAAAGTAGTCAGCTGACCGCCCACAGAGTAAATCAGCTCCGTTATCATCTGCTTGTGTCCAGAAGGAAGAATTCACTTTTGCCATTGCTGTCCCAGGCCTAACTCGATGGATTCAAATGTGTTATTATTAACACTTTCACTACTGCCAACTAACCTGCTATAATAGGCAAAAAGAAGAACATGAGACCTGCCAGGACCCAATTCATCCACACTCATTCTACCTAAGATTGTATCACATCTCCTCTTGTCACAAGGGATACATTAATACCTTTGTTTCTACCTCTTGCTCCAAGAACATTTTACAGGAACACTAGCAGCAGTGTTGGTGTTTCTTCCTCATACTACTACATGTATATGGAAAAGGGGTTATTGATTGTTGCACGCATCATTGTAATGATATAATTTGTTTACCTTCCCCATTGGACAGTGAGTTTCTCAAAGGCCAGGGCTGAATATTAACTTTCCTTAAGGCTGTGCACACAGCATGTGGCACAACATAGGCTTTCCATAAATATTTGACTAGCCGAACTCTTTGAGGGTGAAAGAGCAAGGATAACATGTGTTCCTCATTCTCCAAGGACAGAAATCATTCTGGAATTCTACTTTACTACTCCAACCCCAACACCCCTTTTTCCTCTCTCAGCCCCCTCCAAATCCAAAATGGCAAATGGGAATTAAAGTCAAAGCTGAGTCACATCAGTTAGGATTGGGTGTGAGGATGGGGACGAATAACCTAAAAACAAAGGAAAAGACTAAGGCTTAGGTTTGATCACATGGTGCCTTGGAGTGAATTAGAAAAAGTCTCGCTTCCTCAGATCAATAAAGTTTAGGCAACAGGATACATGTCTTGGCACTTGAATAACAGGCTGGACTCCAGCCCCAGTACTCCACCTCAGCAGGTGCCTGGTGTACGGAGCCTGCACAAATCTATGTGGTGGTCCTGAGGACTTGTTCTTATTTTTCCTCGCAGCTAGCCTTAACCTCGAAACTTCTAGAGGTTCCTAAAGTATCCCCAATAATATTTAAAGCTTATCTTTGGTCCCTTGTTTTGCACTCGTTTGGTCAACAGGTCACAATGTTTCTGGTATGAAGCATGGGGTGGGCCAGAAATGAGATTCAAAATGCTCTATCTTCAAATCACTTCACCTGTCCATCGTGTAGCCCTTCAAGTCCTTGGCATCTCCAAACTCTGCTATCCCTATGTGTTAACGACATGCAAATGAAGCTCTTCAAATTACCAAGACCAGAGATATGTTCTTCCAAGCCAGGAGGTTCAGAGTTGAAATCAAGATGATGACTGTCGAAAATCCCAAAGAACAATGTTCAGCTCTGCGTCTGTTTGCCAGGGGCAGTACTACCAACTGCTATCAAGCCAAAAGCTGTTCCCATGCCCACGTCCCATTGGTTTCTTACCAACCTGCTTTTGTTCTGATTGGCTGTACACATTGTCCCCACTCCCAATCCAGGAGAAGCTAACCGATCTAGTTCCGGAGAAGCTTGTATATCTTAATGCTCAAGCTGTGTCTACACCCACAACTGTTTTAACTGATTTTCTTTGCCTGACACAAGAGCTGAAATGGTCAAAGATATTAACCATGTAGACAGAAACTCCTTTTATGTTTTTTTATATATATGAGTATACTCTGCTTTTCTTATACCAACACTAGCCAGTTCAGCCCTAACACTCTTTAACCCTGCAGTCTCCTCTTTTTCATTCATTCTTTTCCATTTTCTTTTTCTACCATACCTTCCTTTTTAATATCTCTCACTCCCATTTTCCTCCCTAGCTCCTACTTGTCATTGAATTTTGGTCCTTAATTTGAAGTAACAATGTCACCCATTCTTCATGGGATGACGAATGCATCCCAAAATTCTGTGATGCCTAACTTATATGATATTTTTTGCCCCAAATCTAATCTCTAAAACCAAATACAGTATAGGTTTTAAACAAATGAGCATTAATCATCACTTGGTAGGTTACTTTCAAGGAAGAGTTATTTTGTGACAATGAAATTCTACTCATTCATTTCTATGCCACAGTAATCAAGGTTGCTGCACAGCCTGATTCCCAGGGCACCAAGCAGGACATCACTGCAGTAAGATTACTATATCTATCATCAATCTTCTCCATCACAATATGTCAAGAAACTTTTGACAAATGAAAGTCTAAATTCCTCCTGGAGACTAAACAGAGTTTCAGTTGACAGCTCTATGTCTGTCCCTGACTATAACCACCACCATTGGCACCCACACACGACCCCCCAAAATATTCTTTACAACTTTCTTTTTTGTACAGGCTGGTGTCATTGTCATAAGCCACTGTGCCCACCCCTACTATAAATGCCAGGGACTGTGTAAAAAATAAAAAAAAAACTTGTCATATTCACAGGCTCTCTCCTTACTCTTTCCCATCCTGCCTTTATTTAACTCACTTAATTACCAAGTTCACTACCCTTTCTCCCATTTTCATCTTCACCTTACCTGTACTTATCTATACTGATTGTCATCAGTAAGTTTGACTCGCTCCTCAGCCGCACTGCCTCAGATCATTTTGAATAATGCCCTTTCAGGTTCTATCTAGTTTCTATAGCACTGCTGTCCCCTCAGGCTGACTTGGTTCACCTGAACCCTACAGGTAAGACTCCTAGGTTTTTAATTTAAGTTTCAAAACAGATTCAATGCAATCCCCATCAAAATTCCAATGACATTTTTCTCAGAAATGGAAAAAAGAATCCTAACATTCACATGGAATAACAAAAGACCACTAATAGCCAAAGCAGTCCTGACCAAAAAATATAAAGCTGGAGGTATAACACTACCTGGCTTTAAACTATACTACAAAACAGCATGGTACTGGCATAAAGACAGACACATGGACCAATGGAACAGGATAGTGAATCCAGAAATCAACCCATACATCTACAGCCATCTGATCTTTGATGAAGGCACCAAGTCTACACACTGGAGAAGAGACTGCCTCTTCAGTAAATGGTGCTGGGAAAATTGGATATTCATATGTAGGAGAATGAAACTACATGAGTACCTCTCACCATATACCAAAATCAACTCAAAATGGATTAAAGAATTAAATATACGTCCTGAAACAACAAAACTCCTTAAAGAAAACATAGGGTAAACACTCCAGGAAGTAGGAATGGGTACAGACTTAATGAATATGACCCCAAAAGCACAGGCAACCAAATGAAAAGTAAACAAATGGGATTATATCAAACTAAAAAGCTTCTGCACAGTGAAAGACACAATTAACAGAGCAAAAAAACAATCATCAGAGTGGGAGAAAATATTTGCAAAATATACATTAACAAAGGAGTAATATCCAGAATATACAAGGAACACAAACAAATTAACAGCCAAAAACAAGTAACCCAATTAAAAAATGGGCAAAGGAGCTGAATAGGCATTTCTCAAAGGAAGATATACAAATGGGCAATAGACACATGAAAAAATGCTCAACATCACTCAGCATCTGGGAAATGCAAATCAAAACCACTTTGAGATACCATCTCACTCCAGTTAGGATGGCTAATATCTAAAAGACAGAGAATAATAAGTGCTGGTGAGGATGCAGAGAAAAAGGAATCCTCCTACACTGTCAGTAGGACTGCGAAATGGTGCAACACTTATGGAAAATGGTTTGGAAGTTCCTCAAACAATTACCAATAGATCTACCATATGTCCCAGCTATTCCACTGCTGGGTATATACCCAGAGGAATGGAAATCATCGTGTCGGAGGGATATCTGTACTCCCATGTTTATTGCAGCACTGTTTACAATAGCCAGGAGTTGGAACAAGTCTAAATGCCCATCATCAAATGAGTGGATAAGGAAAATGTGGTATATCTACTCAGTGGAATACTATTCTGCTATTCAAAAAAAAAAAAAAATGAAATACTACCATTCACAGCAACACAGATGGACTTAGAGAAAATTATATTAAGTGAAATAAACCAGACACAGAAAGAGAAATACCTCATGTTCTCACTTATTTGTGGGAGCTAATAATAATAAATAAATAAATATATGAACAAACAAACAGAGGGCCAGGGAGGAAAAGAAGACACAACAATCACAAAAATTCCTTGAACTTGTTAAGACAAGTGAACAGATATGATGTTGATGGTGGGGGCAGAGGGAAGGGGGAAAAGGAGGAATTGCTAAAGGGACATGAAAATCAACTACGTTGTATATTGATAAATTAATTTTTTTTTAATTCATATTTTCCATGGCTATTAGAAAAACCCTCATACTTCAAGAAAACTTGGACAAAATTCAGAGTCAGCTCTAGCTTAAATTGTACTTCTTAAGCTATAGATAGCACATAACTAAAATACAGAGATGATCAAATTTCTCTACATTACAACTTTTCCTATAGAACTTTGTTTAAAAAGCAGTAATAAATTTATCATTTATATTCACCATTTTTGGTAAAGCCACCTGAAGTAGACTTTGGTAGAATTGGGGAGATGAGGGCTAAGAGACTCCCCAGTGTGTCTTCCTCCTACCCCATCTTCTGATAATAGACTACACTATTTTACTGAGATAGGTATATAACATAGGTGGGTTGGTCATAGTTTTCCACCCCAACAGGTTGGTTCAGGAGTGGGTATGGGACTCAGACGGGATCAATCAAATGGTTCCTCAGGTAGATATATACCATTATTGGGAGAGAGCTGTTCTCTTTCCATCTGGGTTTAGCTGTGATGACAACTGCCTAGAGCAGATAAAGGCCATCTTCCCAGCTGCATGGAGAAAAGCCCACCTGGAGTCTGACAGGTTCTATGAGGCACCACCTTAGATATTTCTGAGGTCTTAACAAATGACCTTATAATCCCAACCTGGATTCTATCTTTTTCCAGCATCATTTCTTAGTTTGAAACCTTTTTTTGCCACCTAGAGAGGCTAGGAATGAGAAACAATTTTATTTTCAAACCCAGTAAGTACTGGCTACTTTATATTTCTTTTAAATTGTATTTGAAAGCTGAAATGTTCCTTTTCAGCTCATCTCTCTCCTCCCACATTTTAGTAGAAGAATCCAGGTGGCACTTGAATACTCTGTCTGGAAATATCCTTAGCAGGATCACCGAGTTCATTACTTAGACAACAGTGTGGCCAAACTTACCACCATCTCATACATAACAAGGGCAACTTTTCTCCAGCTTTGGATAACATCTTCCTCTCTTTCCTATAAACTCCACTAATAGCCCCCCCGAGGCCCTTGAGGCTTCTGCTAATACTCTACTTTAGGGTCTGTAGGTTTTCTCTCACCCTATTTTCTAATCCTTTCTGGCTTCTGCCTACCATCCCATTCCAAAGCCAATGCCACATATAGGTTCTGTTATGTCAATTTCTCACTTCCAGGTTCCAAAATTTGTATATTATATATTGCTGTATAATAAACAAACACAAATTTGAGTGGCTTAAAACAACAATAGTCATTTATTTAGCTCACAAATCTGAAATTTTGGCAGGAGTCAGCAGAGAAGGCTTGTCTCCACTCCATACAGCATCAGCTGGGCTGACTTGACTGGATGATCCACTTCCAAGATGGCTCACTCAGATGGCTGGTAAGTTAGGGTTGACTGCCGGCTGGAGCTCAGCCAGGGCTGTGGCCCGGGGCCTCAGTTTCTTTCCATGTAGGTCTCTCCTCAGGCTGGTTTTCAAGAGTGAGCATCTCAAGAGAACTGCCAGAAGCCATGTCATTTTTTATGATCTAGCCATGAAAATCACATAGAATCACTGCCACTGTTGTCACAGGCCTGCCCAGACTCAAGAGCAGAGAACGGAGAACCACCTGTCTACATGAGGAATGCCATGACCACACTGCAAGAAGAGCATGTTGGGTGGGAGATGTGGCCATCTTGGAAAATACAATCTACCACATATTAGATTGAACATTGAGGTAATTGTCAGTCCTTTACAATCTGGGACATCATGTTAACCAAAATAGCACTCCGCCTGCTTTAGCCTAGTCTAGAGCAGTAGTTCTTAAAGACTGGACTGTAGGCCAGTTATGATTCACAACAGAACTTCCATCATACGTGGCAAAATGAGAAGCATAAATATAACATAAAGGTCTATAGTAAAGCTTAATTTATTCTACTTAAAGGGTACAGTCTAATACCTTCTATGGTGTTAAAATGTGTTTTGTTAAATGATAGATAGTAGAGAGTAGTTATTTCTGGCAGTCATATCAATCTCCTCCCTTTATTTTTATACATTTTTCTAGTCAATTAAATCCAAGAGTCTAAAGAACCACTGTCTAGAAGTTATCATAACATTGAATTTACCCTTTGATTGACAACCTCTCAAATAATGTGGAGGCTTTTTTGATTTACTAGTATGTGCTTTGAAATAGTAATTACTCTGTGGATGTTCAGAAAAAACCATGCAGCTACCTCTGTAACAGCTCAGAATTGAAGCATAAGGGCATTTTAACTTTCCTATGAATATGTATATAATTCGATGAAACAATAGACAGCTGGAGGTTCTCACATCAAAAGAATCTTTGAAGTGAGATCCAAGAATCCCTTGGTAATCATTAGGTTCATATGCCTAAAAAGTAATATGACATTCAAGATGAATGCTTAGAAAATAGAAGGGCAGAGGAAAAACTAGACACAGAGTCATAGTGTTCATTGTGCATGTGGCTTCTCTGCTGCAGGAATAGGAGTTGAAATGGGGCACTGGCATAAGCAACACATGGAGATAAGGTTTTAAAGTTATTTTTATAAAGGTGAACAAGCTTTATAATATATCAATAAGATAGTACTAAAAGAGAATTCGTTCAACTGTTATTTACTAACTTACTATCTTATAGACTCTTTAGGTATATGGAAGAACTGACAAAGTCCCTACCCTCAGAAAGCTCACAGTTCACATGGAGAGTCAAACAATTAAATAAAATATAGTATCAGGCTATTAGCATTATGGGTACCCCAAAGAAGGAAGGATTAGTTCTTCACAATATTGGGGATAAGGAAGGTCATGGGATGGAGAATTATAGATTGCTTCACCAACGGTCAGACAGAATTTTGAGAAGTTCCCACAGCTTGGGGGCAAGATGAAGAAGAGCTGGTGAAGGGGTTAGAAAATCAGTTTGTAAGACAGTAGGGGAATCGAGATTGGCAAAAAGGTGCCAATACAAGAAGTTTCAAAAATACTTGCATAACAGTAGCAAATGCACCAAAAGCTATAAAAAGTTTGAAGATAAGGACTGAGAGGTGAATAAAGAGAGAAAGAGGTTTATTTTATATTGGGAGGTCCCCAGAAACACCTGTCTTCTTTAGAAATCTTAGAAGTAAGATTTAGGAATCTCTCCCTAATCACCAGGAACACATGCCTGGAAAGTATGTTGTTTTCATACCAAGGCTCAGAAAATGCAAAGTTAGAGTAGAAACCACAAAAATGGCTCATAGTCTTTTCCTAAATTATTGCAGCGTTCAAGAACACTGGGTTTCTCACAAACATATGTAAGGGAACAGAGCAAATGTAGATCTTCTTACTACTCCATAAACACCCACTGGGTCTGCAAGAGGAGAGTGAGGGTTACTACCCTGTTCTTTTGCTTAAGGAAACTGAAACTGAGTTGCTCAGACATTAAAAAGATCTCAAAACTTAAAAATTTGGGAGACATTTAAAACAAAGTTATCTCAAAACCGTGGCTAAGAAAATGTCAACTGACAAGGTATTACTGAATTGCTCATTTCTTTTCCTTCCTGTACAATGAAAAACCAGCTTTCAGGGCAGGACAAAGAAGAGAAAGTCATAATAACAAGGAATAAATGCTTTTTCAAAATACTTTCTTTTCTATAAAACTTCCAGAAAGTCACAAAATAATAAAAGTTTCAGGGACTTGATTAAATAAACCAAAAGAAAGGACTTTCACCAATATGAAACCAACTGTGATATTTAAAACTTAGAAAATATAAAATAGAAAAGGAGGAAAAATGGAATGGAGTCCAGCTATAATATCTACATTGCCAAACCTACAGAATAGGGAAAATCTTCTAAATATAAAGCCATAGAGATTTGTGTTTATTCATTTAGAGATAGGAAGAGGTTAAAGATAAATACGAGGTTTACTCAGAGACTGTACCCCAAACAATTCTTAATATTTCCTTGCTCCAAGAGGTCATCCCATGAGATTTCCTTTTCAGAGAGAGAGAACAAATTTTTCCTCTGGAAATAGCCAAATATGTCTTTTTCTCATGGCATTCCTCAGTTGAATGGAAATTTCCTGCTTTGATTACACAGAAAATTATTATATTCTCTAAATAGTTTTTAAGGTCTCCATATGGTCTTTGTAGGTGATTTATACCCAAGTGCTTTCCCAAAGGAGCATGTGAAACTCCCATGGGGCTGTGCTTGAAGGAACAGAAGCAAGACAAGAGAGTACGGACATAAGCATGCTGAACAGAGTAAAACAAACACGGGTGATTTAATTTTGTACTTAAATACTTGGATAAAACCCCACATCTATTTACTTGACTTCCATTGGCATAAATAGGTTTTCCTTTACATACACTAGAAGAAAACATGTCCTTTTACAAAATATATGTTCAGTAGAAGGTATAATCTTGACTTCTCTTCTGACCATGACTTAGTTTATAGATTTGGCACTTTTCACTTGACCTGAAAGGAAGCATATTTTAAAATTACATTTAATTAGCTTGTGATATGAAACAAAATAAAGCCAGTTTTTAAAACAATGGGCATGGAATAAATCAGTATATCCCAGCCTGAACCAGCCATATTGTTGGTATATCAATTAAGATATTCTCTCCTCCTTTCTTTTTTCATATTTAAAGCTATGAGGTCACATTTCCCAAATAATCAGTATTACTGTTCCTAGTTCTGCCACTGACTAGAATAACTTTGAATAAACTTTTCTTCATTGCAAAATGAGGGGCCATTTCGAAGATTCTATCAATATCTAACATTCTCTGATATGAAAGTGCTTGGAGGAGATGTAAAACAGGGGAGAGAGGCAATTCTTCAGAGGTGAGAAAGGAGGGAAGGTGGGTGGTTGGGCCAGGCTAATGGTAGTGATGGAACAGGTGGGAATCAAATTGTATAACAAATAATTCAGGTCTTAATCATATCGCTCCTGCACTATACTGGTCTTGCTTTCTTTAGTATCCTCTCCCTCCAATCCCTTTTACAAGGAAATCCAGATCATTCACCCCTACTTAACCCCTCTTCTCTCCTACACCAAAGCCTTTTAATGACTTTCCGCTGCCCAGAAAATAAAGCCCAAACTTCTAAGCTTACAATTCAGTAGCTCTAATAAAATAATCATGAGTTCACTTTATAATCTTACTTTCATTGTGAACATAGACTCAACTATAATCAGCCAGATGGGTACTGGCCACTTTCATATTCCCACATTTGAACCTTTGAAACTTTCATTCTGGAATTTCTTTCATAATCCACCCTGGCTACCCATCCTTTCGGGCAATTCCTCTTTACACTTAGGCTTCTCTGAACATCTTATCTTTTCAGGTATATATGTTTTTCTGGAGGGTACTAACAGTAATAAGACACATGTATTTTACAGGGCCTAACTTTCTAGAATTGCATATAGAAATATAAGCTTGGGAAAGACCGAAAACATTTCCCAGGCTTAAGTCTCTGTTGTAGATAAAAAATTGTAACACAGAAAAAATGCTGGCGCTAAGGGCAGATGTCCTTGGTGCAGCTAAACCTAATGATTGTTGCCATGACAAATATCTTACTGTTCTTTTTGAAACCACCTATGTTCCTTTTCTGTAACTTTCTTGCCTGGACAATAAATACTGAGAGAAAACCCTGATTCAAGGTTAGTTTCCAAGAATTCTTCTCCCTTGAAGGTTTGTCTGGAATTAACCCTTTTGAGGCCTCTCACTGCTCAGAAGAAATGGGCTTTGAGTAATCCTTTGCATCTCTGTCACCCTGGCGGAGAGGTGACAGTTTTACTCACTACTAGGTGGTAGGCTCCTTAAAGACAGGGACAGTCTAAAGCCTCTGTCTCCCTTTAAGGTATATGTGTATGTTCAATAGTCATCAGTTATAGATGAAAAGGAATACTCTGTCACACCACCCAGACTAGGTTAAGGGTCTTAATCTTTTAAAATCTACAACACTTTTTGATAAACATAAAATCTTAGGTGCTGAATACCCACATACAAAGAATGAAGTTAGACCCCTCTCTCACACCATACACACACCAAAAAAAACCTCAAAATGAATCCCAAAATGAAATTTAAGAGCTAAAACTACAAAACTCTTAGAAGGAAACATAGGGTGACCTTGGGTTAGTGGATGGTTTCTTACATATGACATTGAAAGCACAGCAACAAAAGGAAAAGTAGATAAATTGGACTTCATCAAAATTAAGGTCTTCTGTGTTTCAAAAGACATAATTAAGACAATGAAAAGACAATCCACAGAATGGGAGAAAATATCAGAATAACATTTCTGATGAGGGAGATGAGGGAGACTAGTATCCAGAATACACACACACACACACACACACACACACACACACACAAGCCTCATAACTAAACAATAAAAAAGAAAACCCAATTTAAAAATGGGCAAAGACCAGCCAGGTGCCAAAAATAAAATTTAAAATGGACAAAGATTTCAAATAGACATTTCTCCAGAGAAAATATACAAATAGTCAGTAAGCACATGGAAAAAATGCTTAACATTATTAGTAATTAGGGAAATGCAAATCAGAACATTCACTAGCATGCTTAAATTTTTTTTTAAAAAAGACAATAATAAAAGTTGGCAAAGATATAGAGAAATCTGAGTCATCATATACTGCTGGTGGGAACGTAAAATGGAAAACAGTATGGCAATTCCTCAAAACATTAAACATAGAGTTACCATATGACCCAGCAATTCCATTCCTATTTATATATCAAGCAAATTGAAAATGTGTGGCCACACAAAAATTTGTACACAACAGTTCACAGCAGCATTATTTATAACAGCCAAAAGAGTGAAAACTCAAATATCCATCAACTGATGAATGAATTAAATTTGGATGTATACAATGGAATATTACTCAGCCATAAAAGGAATGAAGTACCGGTACATGGTACAACATGAAGAACCTTGAAAACATTATGCTAAGTGAGAGAAGCCAGCCACAAAGGAAACACATATTGTATGATTCTATTTATGAAATGTTCAGAACAGGCAAATCCATAGAGACAGAAAGTAGATTAGCAGTTGCCATGGCTTCGGGAGGAAGGAATGGGAAGTGACTGCTAATGGGTATAGAATTTCTTTTGGAGATGATAAAATGTTCTAAAATTAGATGATGGTTATAATTACACAACTTTGTGAATATAATGAAAACCACTCAATTGTACCCTATAAAATGATGAATTTTATGGTATGAAAATTAATCCCAGTAAAGCTGTTATTTTAAAAAATCTTAGGTATGGGCCGGCCCGTGGCTCATTCAGGAGAGTGCGGTGCTGATAACACCAAGGCCTCGGGTTCGGATCCCATATAGGGATGGCCGGTTCGCTCACTGGCTGAGCGTGGTGCTGACAACACCAAGCTAAGGGTTAAGATCCCCTTACTGGTCATCTTTTGAAAAAAAAAATCTTAGGTATGCCTGCCACCAAGATTCTGACATGTGCACCTTCCCTGTTCTCAGGACATTATCCCCATAGTAGGTTCTTCCCCAAATGTAGAATTACAATACTGAAAATGCTTTTTCAAATTCTGCTACCCTATCTCCCGAAAGACATGCCTTCATAGTTAAGAATCACTAGTCAAAATCAAAGGCACAGTAATTACATAAAATTTAATGACTGGTAATGATAATATGAAGATTAGTATTAGGCATTCCTTATAGAAAGAATTCAGTTATAATTAGTTATTAGTAATATTAAAACTAATAATGAAATTAGGGAGTTATATCATGGATTACTGCTCATAAAAGGTAATGACGCCTTAATGAAGATTTTTAACAACAGAATATTCAGAAATGAAAACATTGGGAACCTAATTTTCATCTTTTCTGACATTCAAACCACTTTTTATCCAAAACTTACGTGGTATAGACATCTTTGTGAGGATGGGAGTCACAATATCCTCCAATTGTTGTCTCTGCTCAAAAAGCTCATTAATGGAAGCTTCTGAATGGGTTTCCAACCACTCATTTTTAGCACGGCATGCATTGAGGATGGTGTTCTATGGACAGAAATAGAGAATTTACTTTCTACTTATTTATTTAAAAATAAAACTCTACAGTATCTCTAAACCAGCACTCTCCAACAGAACTTTCTGTGATAATGGAAATATTCCATATCTGCACTACCCAATACAGTAGCCATTAGATATACTCATATATAGCTACTGAGTACTAGAAATGTGGCTAATGTGACTGAAGAACTGAATTTTAAGTTGTATTAATTTTGAATAATTCAAATTTAAATAGCCACATGTGGCTAGTAGCTACTATATTGGACAATGAAGCTCTAACATTAGTGGTATGTGAGTGTAATAAAACTCACCATCAAGAGTCATGAAGCCTTGTACAAGTCTACATTTTCTCCCTAATTCTTTGTTTTCATTGAGCCCTTTAACAAAGAGAAGTGCCTGTAAAGGTTGGAAAGAAATAGATGGATGGTATGAGGTGCATACAGCTGACATTTTATTCCCTCTAAAATGGTTCACAGGAGGAAGAAGTTCAAGAAATGCAAAAATAGGTCCACTTCACTGAAAACCTCTCAATCTGCATTGTAAAATCATCTCATTACACATTTGCAGCAAACTTCTGATATCTAATTTAAGATGTGTTGCTTTGCCTCCAACAGATTTGTCACCCCTTTCCCCCTGGGTGAAGGAGCCACCAAAGATTACTCAAAGCCCATCTCTTCTGAGCAGTGAGAAGCCTCAAAAGGGGTTAATCTCCCAAAACCCTCAAAAGAGAGGCATTCCTTCCATTTGGGAAATTAACCACAAATTTGGGTTCTCTTCCCACATTTATTCTCCAGATCAGGAAGTTACAAGAAGAGAACATAGGTGGGGTTTTTGCTAAGTATACTTTAACAAGTTTAACAATAGAAGCTGGTAACATTCAGTAAGACAAGCAAGGTGACCTTCTATAATGCAATTTTCAAGAAGTTAAATTGATCCACCAACAAAAGCTTGATCTTAGCAAACATTCTCTTCTTACAGCAATTTCCCAGTATCTTTACATATCAATCAGTAACCTGTCTGTCTTTGAGCTAGCAACCTTGCTGTGTTACAATTCTTTATCTTACAACAGAGACTATAGCCTGGGGAAAATTTTCTGTCCTTTGCAAGGTCAATATTTGAAACTGCAAGGCTTTGGAAAACCAGGCCCTGTGAAGTTCATTTGCTTTATGCATACTCCATGAAGATGTTTATTGTACTATACTTTACAATAATAAAGGGAAATTAATACATTTCTGATATATCCCATATTATTAAATAATAAGCAGTAATATAATATATGCAGAAGTATGTAGAAGGAAGTGGGTTTGAAAAGGTGTCCATAACATATTATTAGGAGAGCTCAAAGGTTCACCAATCAAATTCAGTTCAAAAAAGAATATCCCAGGTACATCGTAATCAAATTATCAAAAAGCAAAGACAAAGAAAGAATACTGAAAGCAGTAAAAGAAAAGAAACACATAACATCCAACAAAGACCCAATAAGGCTTTCAGTGAATTTTTCAGTACAAACCCAACAGGCCAGGAGAGAGTGGGATGATATATTCAAAGTGCTAAAGGAAAAAGACTGTCAACCAAGAATTCTACACTCGGGCCGGCCCCGTGGTGCACTCGGGAGAGTGCGGTGCTGGGAGCGCAGCAACGCTCCCGCCATGGGTTCGGATCCTATATAGGACTGGTCGGTGCACTCACTGGCTGAGCGCGGTGCAGGCGACACCACACCAAGGGTTGTGCTCCCCTTACCGGTCACGAAAAAGACAAAAAAAAAAAAAAAAAGAAGAAGAATTCTATACTCAACAAAACTAACCTTCAATATGAAAGAGAAATAAAGACTTTCCTAGACAAACAAAAGCTAAAGGAATTCATCAACACTACACCTGCCTCACAAGAAATGCTAAAGAAAGGTGTTCAATGTGAAAGAAGATGACACTAAAGTATAACAAAAAAAAATATTTTTTTTGAAGGTATAAAACTCACTAGTAAAAAACACTACACGGACAAACTCAGAATACTCCAATACTGTAAGAGTGGTAAATAAACTCCCTATATCTTTAGTAATAAGAATAAAAGACAAACCTATTAATAACAAATCCAACAACCATATAAGGGATAGGCAATATTAAAAGATGTAGTTTGATGAACTTTCAGAAGTAGAAACTGTAGTTACTAGAAGCTAGAAAGGGGAGGGGGAAGGGAGGATAGTGAGAGGTTGGTTAATGAACACAAAATTACAGCTAGGTACAAAAAGTAAGTTCTAAGGATGTACAGCAGTGCTAGGCAACTATAATTAACACTAATGCATTGTATGTTTTCAAATAACTAGATGAGAGAAGCTTAAATGTTCTCATCATAAAGAAAAGATAGATTTTTATAATCATGAATTTAAACACACTGATTTCAATGGTACACACTGTACGCACATATTGAAATATAACTCTGTACCCCATAAATATGTACAATCAATAGACTTTAATTAAAAATAATAATAAAAAAGATGTAATTTGAAACAACAAAATGTCAAAAATGAAGATAATAATATCAAAATATAGAGTCTGCTTTATTTTCTTCCTTTTTCTTATCAATCAAAGTTAAGTTGTTATTAGTATAAAATAATCTTTTATAACTATACCATATTTTTTGTAAGCCTCATGGTAACCATAACATTAAAAACCTATAATAGATGTACTAAAAATAAATGGCAAGAAATCAAAATATAACACTAGAGAAAATCACTTAATCACAAAGGAAGACAGTAAGGCTGGAAAAAGGGATAAAAGTATCTACAAAACAATCAGAAAAAAAGTAACAGAGTGGCAATAACAGGTCAAAAAAGTAGAAAAACTTCAAATAAACAACCTAACATTACACCTCAAGGAACTAGAAAACAAGAACAAAGCAAACCCAAAATTCCGAGAGAGAGAAATAACAAAGATCAGAGCAGAAAAAAATGAATTAGAGATTAAAAACAATACAAAAGATCAATGAAACAAAGAGTTTTTTGAAAAGATAAAATCAATAAACTTTAGCTAGACTAATGAAAAAGGATTACTCAAATAGATAAAATCAGAAATGAAAAAGGATACATTATAACTGAAGTCACAAAAATACAAAAGATCATAAGAGACTATTATGAATAACTATATGTTAACAAATTGGAAAACCTAAAAGAAATGGATAAATAACTAGACACATACAACTTATCAAGGTTGGATCATGAAGAATTAGAAAACCTAAACAAACCAATAATGAGTAACGAGATTGAAGCAACAATAAAAAGTTTCCCAAAGAAAAGCCCCGAGAAACTCCCAAAGAAAACTCTAGGACCAGACCACTTCACTGCTGAACTACACCAAACATTTAAAGAAGTAATATCAATTCTCAAGCTCTTCCAAAACATTGAAGAGGCAATATTTCCAAACTCATTCTATGAGATCAGCATTACTCTCATACCAAAACCAGAAAAGGACAAAAGAAAAAAAGAAAACTACAGATCAGGGCCAGCCCATGGCTCACTCAGGAGAGTGTGGTGCTGTTAACACCAAGGCCATGGGTTCAGATCCTATATAGGGATGGCTGCTTTGCTCACTGGCTGAGCGTGGTGCTGACAATGCCAAGCCAAGGGTTAAGATCCTCTTACCGGTCATCTTTATATATATATATAAAAAGAAATAAAACTACAGACAAATATCCCTAATAAAGACAGACATGAAAATTATCAACAAAATACTAGCAAACCAAATCCAACAACACATTAAAAAGACCATTCACCATAATCAAGTGGAATTTATCCCAGGAATGTAAGAATGTATGTTTCCTCATACACAAATCAGTAACTGTAAAACATCACATTAACAGAATGAAGGGGAAAAAAATATGATCACTACAATAGATGCAGAAAAAGAAACTGATAAAATTCAACACCCCTTTGTGATAGAAACACTCTACAAATTAGGTATAGAAGGACTGTACATCAACACAATAAAGGCCATGTAAGATAAACCCACAGCTAGTATCATATTGAATGGACACAACTTGAAGGCTTCTCCTCTAAGATCTGGAACAAGACAAGGATGCCCACTTTTCCCACAACTATTCACATGTACTGGAAGTTCTAGCCAGAGCAATAATGCAAGCGAAAGCAATAAAGTACATTCAAATTGGAAAAGAAGTCCTTGAACTATCCCTATTGGCAGATGACATGATCATATACACAGAAAATCCTAAACACTCCACCAAAAAGCTACAACTAATAAATGATTCAATAAAGTGGCAAGACACAAAATTAACACACAAAAATCAATAGCATCTCTATATGCCAATGACAAAATATCTGAAGAAATCGAGAAACTAATCCCATTCACAATAGCTACCCAAAATATGAAATACCTAGGAGTAATTTAATCAAGGAGGTGAAAGACCTCCATGATGAAAACTATAAAACATTGATGAGAGAAATTAAGAAGACACAAATAAATGGAAAGATATCCCATGTTCTTGGGATGGAAGAATTAACATTATCAAAATATCCATATTACCCAAAGCAATTTACACATTCAACACAATCCCTGTCAAAATACCAATTACATTCTTCAGAAAAGTAGAAAAAACAATCTTAAAATTTGTATGGAACCACAAAATACCCCATATAGCCAAAGCAATATCAAACAAAAAGAACAAAGTTGAAGGCATCACACTGCCTGACTTCAAAATATACTGTAAAGGTATAGTAACTAAAACAGCATGTACTGGCATAAAAATAGACAAATAGACCAATGGAACAGAATATAGAGCCCAGAAATAAATCCACACATTTATAGTCAACTGATTTTCAACAAAGGTGCCAAAAATATACACTGGGGAAAGGACAGCCTCTTCAATAAATGGTGCTGGGGGAAACTGGATACCCACATGCAGAAGACTGAAATTAGACCCCTATCTCACCAAACACAGAATCTGTAGAGGGTTAAAAATCTTGATTCCTATTTGATTATTAGATAGGGTTTTTAGGTAATGCATGTATGGGACAAAAGTCCTCGGATAGGAGGCAAGAGCCTACAGTTAGGAGGCAAGAGCCCACCAAATCAACTCTAATCACTGTTTAGGTAAAGGATTGTATACACTGATTGTTAATATAATCGGTTCACTGGAAGACTTTATGAGAAGGAAACTTATACAGGACTAAAGCCTTTAATGTGAACAAGAGAACTGAAGCAAAACAGGGGTTGTTCTGAGGGCAATAACCCTTAATACAACAAAACTTAAATGATGGAAAAATATGTGAGTTAAGATTTCCAAGGACATTCTGCTAGATTAGTTAGTACATGGGGGTTGTTCCACATTTTGCTTTACACTGTTTTTTTGAGTTTCTTAAGACATTAGACACTTAATGATTATCTTACTGTTTCTTTTGCATGTCACATAGCTTAGATTTATGAGTCTTTTGATGGTATATTGTTTAAACTATTTTGAGCCATTCATGCATGGATGAAGACTGTTACATAGCCAATTTCTTTATGTTCTTACTATGATTGATTAACCATCTGTTCTTTTCCTATAATTTCCTTGTCTTTACAATAAAAACTAAAACAAAAACCGACTCGGGTGTACACCCACTTTCTCCTTCTAACAGAGGAGTTGCTGAGGTGCAGTTTCTTCAGGTTTCTCATTACATTCATGTTGCTTTGAGTAATCTTTTTTGCTTCTCCATTACACAACAAGAGATGTAACAAAAATCAACTCAAAATGAATCAAAGATCTAAACTTGAGACTCCAAACTATGAAACTATTAGAAGAAAACATAGATCAAACACTACATAAAATAGGAGTGGGCAGCAATTTTCTGAACAAGACTAAAAGCACAGGCAATTAAAGCAAAAATAGACAAATGGGACTACACAAATAGGACTACACCAAACTAAAAAGCTTCTGCACCCCAAAGGAAACAATCAACAAAGTGAAGAGTATAGGTTTACAGAATGACAGAAAGTGTTTTCAAACTACACATCAAAGAGCTAATATCCAGAATATATAAGGAACGCAAACAACTAGCTAGAAAAGAGGATCTTGACCATAATCACCACAAAAAAAAAAAAAAATGCTTAGGTTGTAAGTATGCTATCTACCCTAAGTGAATCATTGTTTAATATATGCATGTACTAAAGAAACACACTATATACCCCACAATGTGTACAATTAAAAATAAAACAATAAAATTAGAAAATGACAGAAAATAAAATGTATATACATATATTTTTAAGAGGAAATAAGCAAATTAAAGAATAATATGTATAGTATGATTCCATTTTTATAAAAAAAAATCTCACAAAATCCCTATTATATGCGTGTATACATATGTTTATATAAGTGAAGGAAAAAAACATGGTGAAATTAACACAAAACTTATCAGAACCACAAGGTGCTAAGACTGGACACAGAAAAGGGAAAACTATTAAATTAGCTTTAGACATTTCAATTTTTTTCTAATTATTGCTAGGAATACATAATAGTTTCTAGTTCAAATAACCAAATTTTTTTTTTTTTTTTTTGTCCTTTTTGAGACCGGCCACACCGCACTCAGCCAGTGAGCACTGTGAGCGCACCGGTCATCCCTATACAGGATCTGAACCCGTGGCGGGAGCGCTGCTGCACTCCCAGCGCTGCACTCTCCCGAGTGCGCCACGGGCTTGGCCCTAAATAACCAAATTTTTAAAAATTGAAATTAAAAGGCTTTTCTAGTAACTACTTTGAAAAAGCACTATTTCTTCATGCCAGAAAAGTTTTGTTTTGTAAATATGATAGCTCCAATAGCTATTCTAACAGAATTTTGCCTATATTTGTTTCACGAGAGATTTTGTAGTGTTTTACAAGACACAGTGCAATGTGTAACTTATCAAGTTCTCAGATTTGGTGATATCTTACACCTACAGCAATAGCTAATTCTTTTTCATCTGAATTATAAGTCACAGGAAATTTCCAGAGCATCCTGCCCAGAAATGCATGAAATAATTTAAAACCAAAACACACTTCTGATACCATAAGCATATTTTTTAATGTACATCCAAAGTAATAAACTAGTCCACAGGCAGTATTCCAATATAATAGATGGCAACCTGGCTTTATAATTACTTATCTTTACATCTGTGTATCTTTTTTCCCCCCATTATGGAAAATATGATACATTTAAAAATAGGTAACACATATGTACATACACATATTTGCTAAAATACGTAATGTACATCTAAGTCTTGAAGCAAAATAATGAAATAAATATTAGTGGCCCTTACTACTCAACAGAAGAACCAGGACACTACCAGTATTATTAACGTGACTTCTGCGTCCTTCCCCGATCCCATCTCCCTTCCTGTCTCCAAGAGATAACCACAATCTGTACTTATCCTTTTGCTCTGCTTTCTTAACAGTTTTAGCCCCATATGTAGGCATCCCTAAACAATATAGTTTGACTTCGCTTATTTTTGAGCTTTATAAAAAAATTACGTAGTCTTTGGTTATTTGTTTTCACTCAAGACTACATTTCTTTTTTTTTTTTTTTTTTTTTTTTTTTTTTTTATACAATGTAGTTGATTATTATGTCCCATCACCAAAACCTCCCTCCCTCCTCCCTCTCCCTCAACACTACATTTCTAAGATCTACTCATGTTGTTGGGTATGATACTTAGTACATCTCTATGTCATTCTTTAATACTATTTCATTTAATTTTGATCAGTCTGTCCTTTATCAGTAGTTCATGAAGAAAGGAAGGAGACGAGGAAGGGAGGAAAGAGAGATGGAAGGAAGAAAGGAAGGGAGAAAGGAAAGGAAGGAGGAAAAAGAGGAACAGTTATGTACCACCCCCACCTCCAGAGCATTAGTGTAGAAATTCAGATGTAGGACGAAATTCTCAAAAGACTTCAGAATAAGCAAGAATTACAATACAGTACCTTGTCTTCCTTAAGGAGCTTCCCTGGTCCCTTTTCTGTGTCTTCTGCTGAGATGGCTGAAGAGATCCATGAGTCACACACCTGATCTCTTCAGCACTAGCAAAAGGCTGTCCAGCCACATGCTTGGCTTTCTTTCCAGAGCATAAGTTCTCGACAGAGAATTACTCAGTTTTAGCACCTTTTGCAATCTGGATAGGCTAAGAATTTTCCAGATCATCAAGTCCTATTTCCCTTTTGAAAAGTCCTTCCCTCAATTTCTCCTCTCACATTTTGCTATAAGCAGTTAGAAGAAACCAGGTCATGCCTTCGACACTTTGCCTGGAAATCCTTCAGTTAAATATCCAAGTTCACCCTTACAAGTTCTGGTTTCCACATAATGGCAGGACACAATTCAGCTAGGCTTTCTGCCTCTATGTAACAGATTGCCTTTACCTCAGTTTCCAATAATATCCTCCTCATTTCCTTCTGAGCCTTCACAGCAGCACCTTTATCACTCATATTTCCACCAACATTCTCTTTGTGACAATTTATACATTCTTTAACATAAGGTAGGCTTTCTCTCCCGTGTTCCTCATTTCCTTCTGAGCCCTCAACAGCAATGCCTTGAATGTCCATATTTCTACCAACAGACTGTTCAAGGCAATCTAGACTTTTTCCATCATTCACCTCAAAACTGTTCTGGACATCTACCCATCACCCAATTCCAAAGCCACTTCCACATTTTTATGCATTTATTACAGCAGCAATACATTTCCAGTTAGCAAAACTGTATTAGTTTCCGATGTCTGCTCTAACAAATTATCACTCACTTGGTGGCATAAAAAAAAATAATTTATTCTTTTACAGTTCTAGAGGCCAGAAGTCTGAAATCAGTTTCACCGGTCTAAAGCGAAGGTATTGGCAGAGCTTATTCCTTCTGCAGTTCTGAAGGGAAAAATCTGTTCCTTGCCTTTTCCAGCTTCCAGTCACTGCCTGTAGTCCTTGGCTTCTGGCCTCCTCCCTATATCTTCAAAGCACATTACCCCAAAGTTTGCTTCTATCATCACATCACCTTCTCCTCTTCTATGTCAAATATCCCTCTAATTACCTCTTAAAAGGACATTTATGATTACATCTAGAGCCCACCTAGATAATCCAGGACAATCTCCCCGTCTCAAGATCCTTAACTTAATCATATCTGCAAAGTACCTTTTGCCATATAACATTCAGAGTTTCCAGTGATTAGAACCTGGATATCTTTGGGGCTATCATACAGCCCACCATAGTTGGTATGAACAATCTCATGAAACTCCAGACTGGAATATTTGAGAGATTTGATGAAATCACACTAAAGCTCAATTGTGTCATCTGCACCTAACAATCTCTTTAAGGCTCATTTTCTTATCTATAAAGTAGATATAATAAAAGTACCTTCCATAGCTAAATTCAGACCCATATCTGGAGTAGGATTAATGATTATGGGCCAGCTAATGGATCTTCTTGCTTTGCATAATAAGCACACTGTTCTCACTGAGAACACATATTTATTTTGGGTGACTTGTGGAGAGAGGAGCTTACTACAAACATTCCCTTAATGCCACCATATATTAACCACTCTAACCTCAGTTTCCTCATCTAAAAAATGGAATTATTTATAATAAAATCCTCATAGGGCTATAGTATAGTGAATACTGTAATATATAGTATAGTGTATACTGTAATATATGCTATAATGCATAAGTACTACGAGGGCACTTCAAAAAGATAGTGGAAAAATAAAATTGAAAAATAATATGAATCTTTCCATGAACTTTTCGAAGTACCCTCATATAATGTAATATATAGTATATAATACATATAGTATAATGCATGCAAATGTCTTTGCACAGTGGCTGGCACACAATAAAGCACTCAGTAAGCTTACTATCATGTCACTCCTCTTCTCAAAACTCCATGAATTGCCTATCGCCTATTGAATAAAATACAGGGCCCACCAAGGTCTATCTGGCCACAAATTATCTTCCCAACTTCATCCCCTCCAACATTCATTCACAGACCATTCACTTCCTGTCCCTCGGCCCCCACATATCAACACAGCTCCCTCCCTCAGCTCCTTTAGGTCTGTGCTCAACCATCACCAAAGAGGCCTCTCCTAAGTTCCCTCTATAAAATACACACTCACTCATTCACTTGCTGGCAACTTCCTAACCCCCTTACCATCATCTTTCTCCATAACACTCCACAGATATAGATACACAGATTTACACAGATACAATTAATTTCCATATCCCTCTACTAGAAAGGAAGCCCCATGAAGCTAATGATTCTGATTTGTGCTGAGTTGTATATACAGTCTCAGCTCCTAGAACAGTATTTAGCACATAGTAGGCACTCAATAAATATTTGTTGCATGAAGATTTATACAGAATTTATTTGCTTATTATGTTTCCTCAATCTGAGATGCCCTCTCTGCACTGCCACCTATCAAAATGCTAATTATTCTTCAAGGCCCACTCAAATACGCTTCTGTGAAACTTCTGTGAAACCCCCAGGTAGAACTCATTGCTGTCTCAACTGACACACATTTATAATTTTATTTAGTTCTCATTTTACCCTATCTTGTAATTTTTATTATTATCTTGGTTTTTGCTTTTACCTCTACATTGTAAGCTCCTTAAAGGCAGGATCTACGTGCCATCTTTTTATCATAACTATGCCACCTCACCATCTTACCTCTCTTCATATACCATGCCGCCTTCCTCACCCCTTACCCATTACCTACCATATCACCATGGCACCAGTGATAGCACCATACCAAAGGAACATATGTTAAAAAGGGATAGGCACTCAATATCTGTGGAACTATTTGAAAGGAAGGACATTCCACAGCGAGAAAATAGGAAGCAAATGCTAGGTTATGTGAAATAGTACAGGTATTTTTTAAGTTAGATGTAAACTTGCCATACTTCAGAAGGAGGGTTGAAGGGGATATGAGTAAATTGTTTCCATGAGATTCTATTAATACAATTTCAGTTTGAATTTATTAACTAGCAAAGTGTTAGTAAAGTCTTCATTTTTAAGAAAATTGAAAAAGCTCAAACCATTCTGGAAAAAAGCAACAAAAAGCATCTTTAAGAAACTCAAGGTCATTCATTAGGTGACACCTTTTAGTTCCAGAGTGGTCTTTATGATGTCACTGAATTTATCCCTGCATCACTATGACTGATGATGTTACAATGATTCTCAGTATATATTTTGATGACTGGCAAATACTCAGAGCATTTTCTGTTCTGTCACTAACCAATTTTTTTAGCTATAGATTTTTTTTTTCCGGTTGAGAAAAAAAGATGTCTAATCAAGAACTATCTTTGATTTTTCCTCTGTTGTTTATCTGCTTCTTCAAGGAAAGCTTCTGCATTTGTGATGGAACTACCTGGACAAAGGTTGGATGGGAGATTTTTCCAGAAGAAGTACACGATCTGAAAGTTAAGCCTTCTTCATTTCATTGTCTACCTTACCCTCTGAACAAACTATGCTGCAACTTCGCTAACATGGATATATTTCAGGGTTGTTTACATCTCATTTATATTTTAGCACAAGCTCTCGTTTTAATCCTGTCTGTTTTATCTGTGCATTACCTGTGGATGAAATGGAAGAAACACAAAAAAAAGGTGAATTAGTGATGCAAATAGTAATAGTTTAAAAATCTCAAAGTGTAGAACATAAGACTATCAATTTCTTTTTTTTTAACTAGTAAGACCATTTTATTCATTTTTTTTAAAAAAAGAAAATGTAATTTTTTTACATTCTAGGACGTAGTTGCGGAGAAGTTGGGAGGGAGGGGGAGAGGGGAAAGGGGAAGGAAATGGGATAGAAGAAGGAGGGAGGAGGAGGGGCGGGATTGAGGCCTGTGGCACCCCCCTCATTCCCACAGGGGAGACCAAGGGGCTTACAGCAGTGGCTTGGTCATAGCCGGGCTGGGTGCAGATGTCATGGGAGTGTGGCAAAAGCCCTCACTGCCCTGGCTCAGGAGGCCCAGGGCACTTCCTGCAGCTGCTTAGTGGTCACTGCTGGGCTGCCTGTGTGTGTTGGGGGGGCATGGCCAAGGTCCGAGGCCTCCCACCACCCTGGCTGGGAGAACCCAGGGTGCTTCCTGTGGTGACTCAGTGGTCGCTGCTGGGCTGGCTGCAGTGTGCTAGTGGGGGCGTGGCCAAGACCCTCATCCCCACCCTCAGGATTGGTTGTAGGTGTTGGGGGCCATTGCTGAGGCCCCCGACTCTCCCCCCTTTCTGGCTTGGTAGCCCAGGGGACTTCTGGTCCTTCTAGCTGTTATAGGTGTTCTTTGGTGAAATGAGACCTTTAGTAGTTAATATCAAACTTTGTCTCTGGTCTAATTTTTCTTTCATTTCTTTGTTGGATTATTTGTTGTTCCCACCACTTAAATTCTGCACTGGAACTAATTTGTTGTCCTTTGCTTACTTCTAAAATGGGGAACTTCTTGTGGGGACCAGTACTAGAGCTCTGTGGTTGAGCTAAATTGCTGCTTTGGGGCTGATTCCCTAGGGAAGGCTTTTTGCGCGGCTCAGGGTTTAATGGTTGACTTTATAGGTACTTCTCTGTCTAGTGAAATCTGGTACACCTGGGTTGTGTAGAGACTCTGGTCTGGGTCTGAGTCTTTTCATCAAACTGCACCCCATGCAATTCTATATTCCTGACCAGTCTCCTCTGAGTGGTCCTTCACTGATTGGGGTGCAGATCAGCTGTCCTTGCTGTGCCCCAGTCTTCTCCCAGTGGGCCCGTCTCCCCCACCGCCTGTGATGCAAACACTTCCCATGGTTCAGGCTGTGCTCCAGTTTTAGTTTCTTGCAATGACTCACCGGCCTCTGAGTGGCTCCTTTTTTTCATTTGTGGTGGCTTCTCGCTCCTTTGTGGGTCGACAGGAACCCTATTAAAGGTCTTGCTGGCCTGGGAGCCACCATGGCCCCCTTTTCCCCTGCCACCTCCAAGCAACTTCAGCTGAAAGGCACAGCTGCAGCTTTTGCCAGCTCTTGCTCTGTGCGCTCAGCAGCTCTAGCCTGGATGCGGCTGGGGCTCAAAACAGTCTGAGCAGTTTTTACTTTCTCTCATTGTGGCTTTCCCACCTTCATGCACTCCGTACGTCTTTCTTCCTCTTCTCCTGAACTCTAGCCAAGATTATCAATTTCTTTGAGGAAAGGTACTATGTCTCATTCCCCTTTGTAAGCTTCTCCCCTCCCCATTCATCTCCAGCATCTAGCACAGTGTCTTGCACATACTAGGTGCTCAACAAATGTGTATTAAGTTAAAAGATCCTTAAAATCATCTAACCCAGCCCCTCTACTTTAAGCTACAAAGCACATCAAAAAAGCAGTGTGTCATAGTGAGTAGAATGTATAGGAAACGAAATTACCTGTCTGTGCCCTTAGGTAAGTCATTTGATCTTTCTCAGCTGCTTCATCCATAAAATAAAGGATCTGGACAAGAGATCTCTTAGATCCTTTCTAGATCTATCTAAGAAAGCTAAGTACAAAAGTTGTCATATTTTTTAAATGGACTGTAAACTAATCGCTAATGTGAGGATGACTTTTTGGGAAACGGCGCTCTTAAACTAATTTCCCACTTTGCCAATAGATGGCACCATAGCTTGAGACAATCGTAAAAGCTCATTGACCAAAAAACCTCATTGACCTTCAGACCAATTAGATATTTATAAATGTTTTCTTATTTTTAAAATGACTGTGATTTTATGGTATTATACCTTGAGGTTGTTTAGTAAAGAAAAGCATTTTGCTAATATTCAAATAATTTCTCCCAGCAGAGTGCTCAAACCATAGAAAACATTAATTAAACATTTGCTCATGGTAATATGAGGGCACTTCAAAAATTCATGGAAAGATTAGTATTATCTTTTAATTCTACTTTTACACGAACTTTTTTTTTGTTTGTTTGTTTGTTTTCCTTTTTGTCTTTTTTCGTGTCCGGCAACGGATTTACACGAACTTTTTGAAGTAGCCTCATAATGATTAATCTTACGTGGAGTATATACAGAAGAGCATTTTTTTCTGCACTTAAATGTTACTTCTATAGTAACCTTTCTTTTGTATAAATAATTGATGTGTGCTATTTTAATAGTTATGTATTCAGAATACAAATTCAATTTGAACTACAGTAAGATAAAATCTGTTTCATTTGTTTTTCTCCTTTTAGCTGAAAAAACAAGCCTCCTTAGGTAAATTTAGTAATGATCTAGAAAGTCCATCCATCTATGACATTGACCAAATACTCTGCAGACTGGTGGCCACAACATCACTCGTGGCCAAGTACCTGAATCAGGTGTCCGACCATCCTCCCGCTAAGAGAGTTAAGCACCGCAAATTCAAGAAGAGTGAAGGAGGAGACGGAGCCAAAGGACACTAAACATATGCAAATACAGCTCAAATATGGTAATTGCAAAAGAAATCTATTGAGAGAACTCATTTAAGGATAAAAACGATTCTTTGCAATTTTCTTTGCACAATCTTTACTGAAATTTTCCAAAGAAGTCTGGGTTTAAATGTTATTTCCATTCAACTGAAAAAGAATTTATTCTTACTAAGTACTGGTAAAAAGACTGTATACTATCACTGCTACATGTGTAAATATTTCATTCTTTTTGATGTGTTATATTACTAATCATTAACCAATATGTAGAACAGAAGCTTAGTTTAGTTTTTCAATAAATCTCTGATTTAAATAATATCTGTGATTCTTCTTCTTTTCCTGAGCAAATTTTATGGCCACAGGGAGATTTTTAATTTCCCATGTTAGACTGCTAAAATAGCATGGAAATATAAAGAAATGGGTTAATTTTTTAAAGTATCAATTTTTGCATTTTCAGTATAACAAATGATTAACTACATATCAACATTTTTTAAATTTCAGGCTTTTGTTTTTAAGACACCTCAATTTTAAAAAGTATGGTTATATATTTTCCAAAGAAAAACTAGATGGATGTGAGACTAGGAGAAAAGACTTTATTTAAAAAATCTTGAAAAATCCTAGAAAAACATGCCATACCTATAAACATATCTCCCATCAATACAAGTATAACGGAGGGACAAAACTTTTTAGAAACAATCCTTGAAACAGTAATACATAACTCTACAGTTTTAAAAGAATAGTGCCTGCCTTACGCTATTACGGGTTATTAAAAGTTTGTTTCTTGTTCCACTTTCCAGACTCCCCTTCGTACCTCCATTCCTCCTTAGCACAATCCCACCCCGATATTTCCATAAATGTTTGTTCCATCCCTTCAGAGTTCTGAACTGCAACTACTTCCTTCTAATATATATCAACTACCTGATATATGTTTCTTTTAATGAGGGAGTCTTGAAAACTTTTTGTAAAAATTCCCCATACCTGTAAAACCTGAAGAAATTTATCTCTTTGGGATAGGAAGTCCTCAGTCCCTTACATGTCTCCAGGTGAGTCCTACTCTAATCCTAGAATGAGGAATATAAGTGATGTATATACTCTAGGTAAGTGTAAATTAAACAAATGTTAAATTTCATGTTGAGTAGTTTATGTATCTGACATTTCACAGTTACATTCCCATGAAGTTCCAAACCTAATTCTATCATTGATCTGGACATACAAGACTAGTTTCCTTTTTATAGTCTCCTTTTCTTTTTATCCCTAAGACATGTTAGGTGTAATTCCTCCAAGAACCTAAGGACCCAAGTTAAACAGATGGATATGACGGGGAAGGAAATAAATGAAACCTTACACCCATAAGCCCTAAACATTTTCTTTTCAGAAAAGTTACAGCAAAATGCGTCCCTGGATTGTGATTTTTCAGTAACATGGGTAATTCATTCTTCAGAGGTAGTTTTTGAATTATGGAATGTGAATTTTCCCTACAATTACTATTCACGGGGGGATCAATTGAATCCTTTGTTATTTCTGTTTTGGTTTTTTACTTATAAATCTAATCACAAAATTGAAGATATTGGCATAGGAAAAATTGTCCCTAGAAAATATTTAGTACAGGTATACTATTACCTATAAAATAAAATATTTAGTACAGGTATACAATTACCTATAAAATAATCTGCAAAGTACAACTCACTTCTTTCTTCTCACATGTGCTTCTTTCTCTCAATTTCCTTCCTTCTATCAATCATCCTAGTCCCCTTCTCATTTTAGTGATGAGCAAGCTTCTTATTGCTACCAGCTGAATCTTCCTAAATATCACTTTCATCTCTTCCTCTTCTACATAACTTTCAGTGGCTCCCAGAATAAAAAAAGTAAACACCTTGGTCTGGCATTCAAGGGTATAACGTGGCTGTAATAATAGCAGCAGCATTTTTCTTTTCCTTTTTTTTATTGTGGTAAAGCATATATAACATAAGGATTGCCATTTTAAGCATTTTTAAACATACAATTGTGTGGAATTGATTACATTCACAGTGCTGCATAACTACTATCTCTATTTCCAAAACTTTTTCATCATCCTAAACGCAAACTCTGAACCCATTAAGCAATAACATCTCATTATTCCTTCTCTGATTATTATTCTGTTTCTCTGGTCTACTTCTGTCTCTGAAATTTTTTTCATTTTAGCTTATTTTTTCTAATTGACCCAAGATAATTGTATGTATTTATGGAGTATAATACAATATTTGGGTGCATTTACACTGTGTGCAACGATCATATCAGGGTGTTTAGCATACTCATCACCTCAAACATTTATCACCTCTCTGTGCTGGGAACATTCAATATCCTCTCCACTAGCTACTTGAAGTTATACAGTAATTTGCTGTTGGCTGTAGTCTCCTTATATTGCTACAGAACAGTAGATCTCATTCCTCCTATATCTCTGTAATTTTTATCCCTTGACCACAACCCCCATCTGTCCTCCCCCCTCCCCTTACTAGTCTCTAATAACCACTATTCTACTCTGTACTTCTGTGAGACCAACTTTTTTAGCTCCCACATATGAAGGAGAACATGTGGCATTTCTCTTTCTGTGCCTGGCTTATTTTAGTTAACCTAATTTTCTCGAAGCCCATCCATGTTGCTGCAAATGGCAGAATTCCGTTCTTTTTTTTAACGGCTGAGTAGTATTCCATTGTGTATATATATAGCCCATTTTCTTTATCCAGTCGCCCATTGATGGACACTTGGGTTGGTTCCAACTCTTGGCTATTACGAACAGAGCTCCAATGAACATGGGAGTGGAGTTATCCCTTTGACATGCTGATTTCCATTCCTTTGGATATATACCCAATAGTGAGATTTTTGGGTCATATGGTAGTTCTATTTGTAGTTGTTTGAGAAACCTCCATACTGTTTTCTATAATACTGTACATTCCCACAAATAATGTATAAGATTTCTCCTTTCTCCTCATCCTTACCAGCATTTGCTATTTTCTGTCTTTTTGACAATGACTAATCTAATCAGGGTGAGATGATATATCTCATTGTGGTTTTGATTTGAATTTCTCTGATGATTAGTGGATATTCAATATTTTTTCATATACCTGTTGGCCATTTGTATGTTTTTTGAGAAATATCTATTCAGCTCATTTGCCCATTTTTTAATTTCTAAGCAGAAAGGCATTCAGGCAGCTACATGGATACTTCTAACAGCCTATGCTGAGTTATGGCAGCAAAGGCATGACTTAAAGGCAGAATTTATCATTAAAAGGGAAACAGAGGGTAAAAAATTGGAAAACTCTTAACCTGGCCACATAAAGAGTAAAAAAGTACGTTCAGGAGCAGAAACCAAGGGTGTATACCAGAGACCATTTGCTAAGGAGAACAGAACAGAAAGAAGGAATCATCAAGACAATGAAAGAAAGACCTTGAAGGCATTTTGGAGATCTTCAAGGATGTCCCTCCCCTCACAGACCCAGAGGCCTAAGGAGACAATGCTTTGGGGGAACAGGCCCAAGGTGCCTTCCATGGGCTCACTGCCCATGGCCACCTCAGGATGCTGCTCTCCACCTCCTACTCCAGCTGACCTGGCTATAGCTAAAATGGCTCCAGGTAGCCAGAAACCTTGGCACATCCAGAAGGTGTTAAGTCTGCAGGCTGGCAGAACACAAGAGCTCTGGAGGCATGGCAACCTCCACTAAGATTTCAAGGACGTACAGAAAAGCTTGGGGACCCAGGAAGAGATCTGTCACAGGGGCAGAGTCACTACAGAGAGCTTTCACAGAGCAATGCTGAGCAGAGATGTGGGGTCTGAGTTACAGCAGAGAACTCCCATGAGGGCCATCCCTAGCAGAGTCGTGAGAGTGGGACTGACACTGAGACTTCAAAATTGTAGAGCTACCAGCATGGAACATCATCAGCCTGGGAGACCTGAAGCATGGGCTAAGCCCAGGAAAGCCACAGAGGTGTGGTTGCCCCAGACTTTAGAGGCCCCACCCCGGCACCGGTGTGTAGAGGATGACAGACATGGAGTCAAGGGAGATTATTCTTCAGCTTTAATATTTAATGCCTGCCTTTCTGGGTTTCAGATATGCTTAGAAGCTGTTACCCCTTTCTTTTGGTCTATTTCTCCATTTTTGAATGGTAATATGTATCCTATGCTTGTCCCACCATCATATCTCACAAGTAGATTTGTTTGATTTCACCGATGAGACTCTGGACTTTTGAGTTGAAACAAGTTAAGACTTTGGGGATGCAATGAATGTATTTACATGTAAGAAAGACATGAAATTTGGGGGCCAAGGGCAGAATGCTATGGGTCAAATGTGTCCCCAAAAAGCTCATGTATTGGAAATTTGATCCCCATTGTAACAGTGTTTAAGGGTAGCAAATCTGATAATGGTATTAAAAAGATGGGGCCTTTAAAAGGTGATTGGATAGTAAGAGCTATGCTCTCATGATTGGATTAATCCATTCATTGAGTAATGAGTATCACGGGTGTGGAGTGGTGGCTTTATAAAGAGAGCACATGGGAGAGCTCTTGCCATTCTTGCCTGACACCCTGCATTGCCACAGAACTCTGTACAGAGCCCCGACCAGGAAGAAGACCCTCACTAGAAATGTTCCCTGGACCTTGGACTTCCCAGCCTCCAAAACTATAAGGATAAATTTTGTACTCTTATAAGTTATCCAGTTTCAGGTATTCTGTTATAAGCAACAGAAAACAAACTAAAACGCCCTTTCCTTCTACTGCATATTCAAATCCATCCATTCCTCAAGGCCCAGCTCAACCCCAACATACTCTAACTTCATGTTCTCTGACCACCCCATAGCATGGACTACCTGCTCTGCCAATTTTAACTCTTAATCACAATCTCCCTGATATTGTATATAATTGTTGAATGTGTCTATAGTTTGTCATGCCCTACCTAACAAATGTCCAGAGGGCAGGAACAACCATTTGTACCAACCATTTATACTCATAGTGGGCATTCAATAAATGCTTTCTAAAAACATGAATACAGATAACCATGCAAAACAAATGCTGTGAACTTCAGAACTACTAGCTTTTAACCAGCGTTTGTATACATACATAGGTATATCTTCCTGAAATCTCTCTAAGCTATATTCTAAAGGGCTGTGGGAATGATGTAAACAAAATATTAGCGAAATTCAAAATAGCACATAGTTTTTTTAACTTTGTATTGAAATATAACATACATACAGAAAACCACAAAAATTATAAGCATATAGCTCAATGACTTTTCACAAATGAACAACATGTAACCAGCAACCAGATCAAGAAAAAGAACATTACACCCCAGAAGTCCCCCATGCCAAAAACAAAAGAAAAATAACATGGTCAAGAAGTAACTCCGGGGCCTCCCTCATAAGGGTAACTACTATTCTGACTACTAATACCATAGATTAACTTTGCCTAAACAAATCATTTTCAAGTCATTATAACTTTTTCTATCTGGGAAGTCAAATATATTTCTCAAATATGCTATTTTTTTAAACATTTAAGGAATGGTCCACTTTGCCTCGGTCTCTCAGAAAATGGCCTTGAACATATATTGTACATATATATACATATATATATATATATTTTTTTTTTTAAAAGATGACCAGTAAGGGGATCTTAACCCTTGACTTGATGTTGTCAGCACCACGCTCTCCCAAGTGAGCTAACTGGCCATTCCTATATACGGATCCGAACCTGTGGCCTTAGTGTTATCAACACCACACTCTCCCAAGTGAGCCACAGGCCAGCTCTTGTACATACATTTTTACAAAAAATTATTGGTCAGGGCCGGCCCGGTGGCGCACTGCTACAGTGCGCCGCTTGGGAGCGCAGTGGCTCTCCCGCAGAGGGTTCGGATCCCGCATACAGACCGGTTCCCGCTCACTGGCTGAGCGAGGTGCGGGCGCAACACCGAGGGTTGTGATCCCGTTGCCGGTCCCGGTCCGGTACGGGCATGACACTGAGAGTTACGATCCGTTGCCAGACACGAAAAAAGACAAAAAGGAAAAAAAAATTATTGGTCAAATTGTTAGAAGTTGGTAAATCAACAAACTTCCAATATGTACAGTTCCTATTAAGTTCAATGTTTTAGGTCAAAAGCAAAATAGAAAGAAAAAAAAAAAAGACAGATTTCACATAGTATTGCCAAAAGTGGCTGTGTTGTATCTACAAGTAAAACATCTTAATGGAAGATGAAAATGTAAATCATCTCTTTGCCATGTTGAAGACGCAGCCTATAAGTCATAGGAGAAAAATCCATCACGTCAATCAGTTTGCTAATAACTTGTGAGCTTCCTTACCTGCCCAGTCCAAGAATTCAACACACTCAGTCTGGGAATACCGAACAGCAACATCTCGAGCTCTTTCTTCCCGGAAATTCAAAGCTTCTGTATCAACATCTAGTTCCACTAGTGCTTTCAAAGTTTCCAAACGACCCCAGGCTGCAGCACAGTGTAAGAGTGTGTACCCTAAAAAGATAGAATGAAGAAATAGAATGAAGATAGTCAGGTCAAATAGGCTATATTGTTTCAGTCTATTTTATGCAATACAATATCATAATGGTGATCAAGTATTGAATAATTACTATGGGCCAGGCACTACTCTAAGTGCTTTACGTACAGTGAACTTAATTTGATAGAATGAAGATGGTCAGGTCAAATAGGCTACATTGTTTCAGTCTATTTTATGCAATACAATATCATAATGGTGATCAAGCATTGAATAATTACTATGGGCCAGGCACTACTCTAAGTGCTTTACGTACAGTGAACTTAATTTATAAAAACCCTATGATGTCATAACTATTATAACCTTCATTTTACAGATAAGAAAACTGAAGTCTAGAGAGGTTAAGAAACTTGCCCAAGGAATACAGCCAGTAAATGATGAACACAAGATACAGCACAGGCAGCCTGAAGTCTGAGCTCTTCAATGTCTTCTAAGGAAGATGGCAATCTCCCTAGCAGTCATCTATTCTGGAATACAACTGCACCCATGACTCTTCATTACTCTAGCATTATTGTTAATACAATCATACAAATTACTAAAATATAACTGTGTACGCCTTTGGTTGGAAATTAATCATTTGAATTAAAGTTGAAATTATAATCTATCAATTTAGAAAGTTAGTTCTTAGGCTTATTGATGTGTAACTACCATGAGGTATAATAATAAAGGCGAAAAATATGGAAGGCATCTTTAGAATTTTTTCAGACCGGTTTTTAAAAAATCAAGTCAAAGATCATTGTTTTAACTTGCCCACAAGGACATACTCATGACTGTCTTAAATGGACAAAGGTATATACTACAAAGGTATATCTACTACAACTAGAGTTGAACAAGAGAATGAACTAATGTGTTGAATCTATTGAATACCACGCACTTTATGTGTACTTCATATAATCCTTCCAATAACCCCATGAAGTAGGTATTATTAGCCCCATTAAAGTATATGATAAAAAGTACATAATATAGAGTATATGAAAGTCAGAGGCTACACTGGTAGTAACCAAAGCAAGATTCAAACTCAGGTAGAGGGTTTATAAGCAGCAGAAAACAGCACCCAAATGTTTCCCTCTGGTTAAGGTAGGGAAAGAGAAGAGAGAATAATGATTCTACTTCCTTCCAGAAACCTCTCCTTGACTCCCTATGTGCCATATTCCCACAATCCCAGGCCTATCTTTGACCAAGCTGTGAACTACACTAGGCCAAGTTTGTAAACTGTCATAACCAGAAGGGATAATAAAGGGCTGGCAAGGAATCAAAAGGAGCATGAAATGAACTACTTTGGGATCAGCCAAAATTTAAATTGCCTCACCTCTTTGGTCCAACTTTTTTTTAAATATCACACAAGCAAGAAATTTCAAAACACTAAGAAACTGGCTCAAGAATTTTATTATGCCTTATTATCTACTGTCTTAGTCCGTTTGTGCTGCTAAAACAGAATATCACAGACCAGGTAATTTATAAAGAACATAAATTTATTTCTCACAGTTCTGGAGTATGGGAAAACTAAGATCAAGGTACTGGCATCTGGAGTGAGCTTTCTTGCTGCATCCTCACATAGTAGAAGGTGGAAGAGCAACAGAGAATTAACCCACAGCCACAAGCCCTTTTTATACTGGCATTAATCTATTTCTGAGGACAGAGCACTCATGACCTAAACACCTCCCAAAAGGCCCCACCTTCCAATATTGTTGCCTTGGGGATTAAGTTTCAAACACATGAATTTTGGGAGACACATTCAGACCTAGCACCTACAAAATGGGGGGCCAAGAAGTACAGCTTCAATCAGCTGAATGGTCCAGAGCCCCTTATTTGCTGGGGGAGGAAGACACCATCTACAGACAAAACACTGCTAGCATGATTGGGAGGCCATTCCAAATGGGGAGATGTTCCAGCTCCCTGTATTGCTCTCCTCAAGGCTGAAGTTATAGGCCAGTGCTAACATCTGATCACAATGCTCTTAAATTCGTGTTTTTTTCTATTTTTTTTAAATAATCAGTTAAAAATCAAGGAAACAAGATTTCTAAATAGAGAGAGGCTTTTACTAAGGAGTTTGCAACCTTTACAAGTTTTTTTCCCTTGTTGGAGACAATCCATTTTCTAGAAAGAAAAACATAGATCCTCATAGTACATTAACCCCATCATTTTTTCCAAGAGAAGGAAAATATCTAAATAAGATGATTTCAGAAAGAAAGTAATTTTCCTAAAGTTCTCCCATAATGTTGGTAAGGAGCGTTACATCCCAGGAGGGGGATGTAGAAGGCTACATGTTGGAAACCTCCCCAGGAAAAAAAAAAACATAAATGGAACTGGGAAGGACCGAGGTTGATTCTATAAGGAAAAATCTCTTTATGGAAGATTACTGGTTACTAAATGCAGAGAGAGTCAATTGAGCAGGCAGTTCATAGTAAGCGAAAAGATCAGGCAAGAAGAAAAGGCATCTTTTCCTCTGCGAAAGCACTGTTCTGTGTGCTTCACAGGTATCAACTAATTAAAACCTCACAATGATTCTATGACACAGAGACTAGTACTAGTCTCAACTACATATATGAGGGTACTTCAAAAAGTTCGTGGAAAGATTTGTATTCTCTTTTAATTCTCTTTTTCCATGAACTTTTTGAAGTACTCTTGTAAGTAAACTGAAGGACAGAGAGAATAAGTACTTCTCTCGAGGTTGTGCTATAAATTAATGAGTGTGCCAGTGATAAGGTCAAATCTAAGAAATGAGCTGAAAATAGTTCAGGATAAGAAATAGACCATGGCACAAGAAGATACTCACTTATCTAGAACCTTGCCCACAACCTGCCTACCACCAGCAGTACCAGACTCTGAATTCTCCAAATCATATTGTTTCGTGCCTCTATAACTTTGCATATGCTGTTTTTTCTCCCTGGAATAGTAATTACAGTAGTAAAACAAAAGAATACCAGTACACATTTTATGTCTACTTAGTACTAATACTAGTATTTTATAAAACTGGATTCAGAATTTTTTTTCAATTAGTGAAACTATTTAATACGTTTCAAATATGAAAATATATAATCACAAAATATCAAAAGTATAACTTTATAAAATAGAAAGCTTAAGTGTATACTGTCATTCTATTGGCAATATAAATTGTCAGATAAAATTAATAAAAATTAAGGAAAAAGCAAACGCTTTTCTTTTTTCTTCATAAAAATGAAGAAAATGTAATTAATCACGAAAATCGCAAATGAAACATTATTTGGTCTCTTTTTTAAGTGTGTCAGGGGTATCACCAGGATATTTTTATATACATTTGTTGTATTAAAAAAGCTACTAGGGCCGGCCCGTGGCTCACTCGGGAGAGTGCAGTGCTGATAACACCAAGGCCCCGGGTTCAGATCCCATATAGGGATGGCCGGTTAGCTCACTGGCTGAGCGTGGTGCTGACAACGCCAAGTCAAGGGTTAAGATCCCCTTACCGGTCATCTTTTAAAAAAAAAAAAAAAGCTACTAAAGTTTTGCCAACTCAACATTCATTGGAGATATGGTGAGAAGGTAATTATAAATTAACACCAAATATTTTCCTTCATGTTATCTTCAAATTATTCCATCTCTAATTTGAAAATAGAGAGATCTCTTTGAATAGCTTTTTTCTTGTTAGCTGCAGTGCAACCTTTTTTTGAAACTAAGCTATACTTTTTTTTCCCCCAAAGAAAACACTGCTGGTTTATATTTGTCTTTTTTAGTTTCCTCATGTACAGAGAGAGATACCATCACAGTTTCCCAACCAATCTCAAAACCACAAGGTTCACAGCCTACTGTTTGGGAGGTCTTTGAACTTAAGAATTTTGCTTACAAGAGAAATTCTACAATATCACAATACGGACCATCTAAATTTGTAGACTTCAGTTTGTCATTTCGTTTACATTGAGCAATTAAATCACTGACATTGTTCTCAACCCATAAGTGATTGAGATTTCATATTTTATTTTTTTAAATACCAAATAATATTATTATACCTATTAAAAGACCAGTGTTTTGTTTAAAATAGTAAGGTAAGTATCCCAGAATACCATAAACACTGTAGCACTAACATCTAACACTGGGATCTCTATATTGCCTGCCATGCCCCCACCCCTCAACTCTCCTTTACTAGGTAAATTCTTAGTCCTTCTTCAAGATTTAACATATATATTGCCCCCTGCGTGAAAACTTCCCTGACCATGCCCAGAACTGTTTTTTCTTCCTCCCTTTAGATCAAAGTGTCCAAATCTTCAAAACTAGTGATATTTAAAAGGAAACGAAATCCTGGATGCAAACATGACTCATCAATCACCTTGAAAATCATTTTCCTACATCACTCAGCTGAGCTCGAATGCTCCGCTTTCTTCCCTGAGAACACTGTTCTCCTTGTAGAGCTGAGATGTGGACTCCAGGCCCTGACTGTATAAGTTCGAGGTGCATCCTGTCCCAGAATGTACACATTTGGTAACAGATACTTTAAAAGTTTCCCATTCCATAACTCCCAAAGATACTGCCCCAACCCAGCAGAAAACCCAAAGGACTAATGGCCTAGGACTAAAGAAAGCATGATGGGCTGAGAAAAAAGAAAAAGAAAATCATGTTCCTTCCTTTTCATTTCTGAGTACCATCCACAAATGAATAGCATACATCTTTTTACTTTACAGAGACAACTATACTGCAGTCTTCACTCAAAAGTCTTTTAATTTTGATCAGTGGTTTTTTATGACCCAGTGGATCATTAGTGTTCTTGTTGCAGGTTGAGAGTATTCCATTGCTTTGCCTGAATAACAGCAGTCTTTCCTTAATTCACGGAAAATGTTATTAAACAAAATTTTCTCAATTTTAAGTTTTTTCTCTTATAATATTTTTCTTAAAACCTTCAGGATCTGATGAGTCTCACTAGAAAATAACCTAAAAATTAAATAAAAATGAACATAAAATTTCAAAAATAGTAAAATATTCTTAACTTGTC